TTTTATATAGTACAACGTTAAAAACATAACTATTTATCCATAATGAGAAGGAATATTAAATACAATTCGGTAAAGAGGACCATTTGTTGTCTAATACGGTGATTGAAAATGAACGAGTTAGGCTTAAATTATAACTAATGTTTATATGTATTTATTCGTATATTCGGTTGTTTTCATATAGTACAACATTACAAATGTGTAGCTTTACTAATTTTATATCATGGCTTAGAGATATAATCTAAGCCTAACCAAATATATCTTCAAAGCAGGCCAAACCTCATAAAGTATTATTGGTTTTACGGCCGAAAGCATTGTTAACCCGTTTGGAGAATGGGTATAAATTTAGTCCTTATCCCACATTTCTTGTATGTACAAGTGTTAGTTTGTGTATGTGTGGTGTGTATATATATATATTAATGGTTGCCACTGTACGAGAGAACATCTTCTGGGACAAACTCTGGCGGGAATTGTAGGAATTTTATGACCCGCGTTAGGATATCAGGTAGCGAGCGGTGTGACCTAGTTTTCCAGATTTCTTTAATAAAAACTTGCCCTGGGAAATTCAGATCATTTTCTTTCTACTTACATACATAGCCAGTATGCTAATGTAACCTTACGTGACGCTAAATTTAACATATTTATCGTGTCGGTTTAACAGCTGGAAACCTTGCTTTTGACGCAAACACAGGTGTGGGTTTTAATACTTTTAACCAAATCTCCTTGAAAGTTTTGGGTTTATTTCATATCATGTCGTCGGTGCCAACTATTGCTTAGTAAAGCGAGGAGGGAACACTATGGTTAATGTTTAGTGTGCCAATAATGTCCTTTCAATAACCAATAATAATAAAAACATTAGTCGTGACATATGGAACTTAAATCAAACCTTGACATTTTTATAGTTTGAGTTGTTAAAAATGTGCGTTATTAGTGCTAACCAGTGGTTAACCCTTCTGTTCAACTGGTACAGTACTGGCTTAGCGTAGGAAAGAGAACGGGTTCGAATCCAGGATACGATTGTTAACAATATACACAAGTTCACCGATCGTTTATTTGTTTCTGAAGGGCTACCAGTGCTAGTCATCCCTAATTCTTAAACTGACATACTAGAAGGAAGGTAGATAATTGAAAGAACCCACCGCCAACTCTTGGACTACTCTAATCGAATATTGGGATTTGACCGTCACTCTTATAACACATCCATGGCTTCAAAGTGCGTAATGCGTTTCTGAAGCAACGGGGCACAAACCACGAATTCTTGAGTTTACAATTCGGCACCCTAACCACTAGGCCACGCCCATCACACATATGTTCACTCACAACACACAAGTCAAGAAGCAGAGATATCAATTCTCTCTCTATTGTTTTTTTTTATAATTATTACTGTAAGCTATATAATTGATTCTATTGTCCGACAGGGCGATATATCCTGGTAAAAAGTTCTAAAAAAAAACACGCTTTTACTGTCGGACATATCTTGTCTTGAATATCATCTTTTGACGACGTTTCGGGACACATACTTGTTTCTTCCTCAGGTCGGTGAGGTAGACCCGAAACGTCGTCAAAACATGATATTCAAGACAAGTAAAAACCTTAATTATGCTCTGTTGCCAACAATGTCTCTTTAAACAGAAAATCTGAGTTATCGTTTGTTACTGATCTTTTAGGCCCTTTTGTTCAATTAAGATGGTTTACCAGGCCAGGCGTGGCCCAGTAGTTAGCATACTCTAACTATGAATTACAAAGTTCTTGGTTCGCATCCCACTGCCGCAAGACAAACAATATCGTTCCACACCTTGGGGCAGGTGACGTACTATAAGAATGACGCTGAAATCCTATTATTCGGGCAAGTTAGACTAGCTTACCAATTGGCGGTGGGTGTTTGTTAACTAGTTGGCTGCCTTCCCTCTAATCTATCAGTTCCAAATTACGGACGGCTAAGTCCAGATAGCCCTTTGTGTATCTTACGTGAAAATTTACAAATTAACAACATGATGGTTTAGCCAGGGCTGAGTGTGCAGCACGTGCATTTGTACAGGGCGGCAGGTTCTTGGGGGCGTAACTGTGTAGAATTCCTATAATTGCGGAAGAGCGGAAATGTGGGAGGGAGGAGGGGGGGTGCACGGTCTGTCAGCGTTTTCATAGGGCGGCAAAACACGTCGCGCCGGTCTTAGATTTACTGTTTGAAAAAAAGTAAAACTATTGTGCTCAGTTCTATATACCTTGGTTGTTAGTGTTGAAAAACAACAATTTTATTATTACTGTGATTTGGTTGGTTTCACGAAATCAGGTTATCTAATCCTTACAATTATTATCTTAACTATGAAGGTTAACCTGAGAACAAGACAAGAGATTTTCTACGAAAGTCGATCATTACGTTATTACTGTATCCCTGACCAGTGGTCTTCATTAGGGCAACGGTTAGCCAAGACCTAATAAACTTATCGGGTGAGATTCGGCTTCGAACGGTCTTGTTAAAAACAGCCGAAGGTGAAACAGTGACTACATTATATCTGTGAGGTGAACAATAAAAGAAATATTTAACATGTATATATATACAGTAACTAGATTAGTTTTCCGATAACAAGATCACCTTGGAGATTAACTGAAACACAAAATTCTACGTACGGAAGAGAACACTTGTTATTACGGTTTAAGCTGAAATGTGAGAGTGAAACTCATTGAAAAGTGGACAGTCTTGACAAAGAAACGTAACACCCACACGTAACAGTGGTAATTATTAAAGAGTGGACAATCTTAGCAAAGAAACTTGACCCTCCCATGGAATAGTGCAATAATGGAACTCACTGAAGAGTAGACAGTCTTAACAAAGAAACGTAACCCTAAGTGTCTGTTCCTGACAGAAACGACCACATTAAGAGCTAGAAAAACAATTAAACACTAAAAGGGAGCCGAACTAGCTGTCCTGGTCAAACATCATGTAACTATATTACGTTTATTTAACTTTGACCTGTTACCATATCTTTGGTAACTCTGAATACTGTAGGACTTGTGACCTAGACAGTCAGACTAACTCCAACTTGTAAGAGCTTATCACCTCTCCCAGTGGTCAGCCCGTCACTTTACCCAAACTGAGCAAGCTAATAATTTCGCTTTTTGTGACCACGACCTTCCCAGGAGCATCCTACATCACCAGAACACCTCACATTATCTATATATAGAATAACCTTGTGTTTTATTGTTTATCAGCCACAGAAAGCAGTTGATTATTTATCATCATTTCTCGCACTAATGAATTAATAACTTTTACTCCATTTCCATTCAAGACTATTGAAAATAAATATAACTCACGAAACTAACGGTAATATAGCAGAGTGTATCATCCAGCCATTTTTTAAGTTTCATTGTCAATTGTACATTTAAGTAGCAGGAATGTCAGTTGGCGGTAAGTGGTAGTTTTTGCGAGACATTTGTAATCAAGTCAGATGAACACGTATACGCAAATGACGCCATAGCATAACCCCCACCCCTAGTTGATTTGGGTGGGGGTGGAGCACGCAAGGTCTAACTTCTGATAGATACTATAGTTCAAATTCGATGACGAGGAACCCACTTTGAGATT